TCAGGAGCGGCTGATTCGCTTGCCTCTGTCGCACGCAAGGGGAAGTTTTGGTATGCAGGGAGCTCTGGCATGGAAGCTGGCAAACTTGATCAGCCTCAAGGGGGAGGACATCCTACTGACCACGCCTACTACTCAGATGACCCGATTTCATCGTTTGAGGGCCTCAGTTCCGGCTCGCCTCTGGCGTTGGAAGGTTGTATCTGGGTGGCGGTGGACCCGTGGCAAGGAACACATAAATTCCCTGGAGATGAGAGCCATCCTCAACGCAGTCCGCTGGCGCATTGAACAGCAAGGGCATCTTGGCTGCCGCATGTTGCATCTCACGGATAGCTTGGTCTGCCTCCATGCGCTCACGAGAGGACGAACCAGTTCTCGCAAGTTGCGTGCGACTATCTCCCGCATTAACGCGCTTCTGCTCTGTAGCAATGCTCAAGTCATCTGGGCCTATGTGGCCACGGATAGTAACCCCGCCGATAAACCCAGTCGTTGGGGTGGGCGGGTGCGCACTAAATACCGGAATGCCTAAGAGGCACCTTGAAGCAGCTACAGCAGAAGAGCGCGGGAAGATACGTCGGCGGTTGGGCACATTGCGGCAACTTACGGTGCAGCCAAGCACTAGGAAGCGATATGATAAAGCTCTGCAAGGGTTTTTCTCTTTTTTGACTGCTGAAGGACTGGACTTGCCTAAGGACAAGAGACAGTTGGACCCAATTGTTTGTGACTACTTGGAGACGCTATGGTTCGAAGGCAAGGGCCGTGCGCAGGCCTGCGATACCCTCGCAGCCTTGCAGGACTCACAACCTGGGTTGCGGAATAACCTGCCGGGAGCGTGGCGGCTCCTGCGTACTTGGCAGGCTAACGAGATCCCCTCTCGTGCGCCGCCGCTGCCTGAGCATATAGTACTCGCCATGGCCGGATGGAGCCTTTTCCATGGCTGGGTCTCGTTCGCTTTGTCACTTTTAATTGGATTTTACTCGATGTTGAGGACTGGGGAAATCCTGGGTTTAGCCTCCTCCCATTTTCAATGCACTGAGGGACAGCTACAAGCTCTTATCTCCTTGGGTCTCACCAAGGGAGGTAAGCGACACGGCGCCGCTGAGAGCGTTGTCCTCGGATTGGAACCTGTGGTCAGGTTTTTGCGCACCTGGAAGAAGGTGGCCTCTGCGAGTACCCGTCTGACCCCGGCACCAGCCAAATGGCGTGCCCTTTTCAACTCCTGTTTGGCCGGCCTCGGCATAGAGCATTTGGGCTTCAGGCCCTACTCCCTTAGGAGGGGTGGGGCCACATATTGGTTCCAGAAACATCACAATTTAGATCGTATCCTCTTACAAGGACGATGGCACACTCAAAAGAGTGCCCGTATATACCTGAACGAGGGCCTCAGTGTCCTGGCACAGATGAATGTGCCCAAGAATGATCCGAAGTTGAAACCTTTTCTGACTGTTTATAGCAATTTTATCCAGTCCCCGAAATTCTCCACGCTTGAGCCTCCGTCCAAGGGCGGAAGGACAGGGGGCCGTGGAAGGGGCACAAAGGACAAGTCCAAATCCGCAAGGAAAAGAGACTAAGAGGGTT